CAGTCCGTGTTTGGTAATTGTTTGTACAATGAACTCATAATTCAAACATCTCATGCCAGACGAGCATCAACGTAGAAAACCAAATTCAGCACACAGACAACGACCGACAACCCAGAAGAAGGACATGACATTTGAGAATAGATAGAGAAGTCGACGCAGTAAATCTCCCGAACGCGACCCTTGATGGGTCAAAAGATTAAAAGATATCACCACCCATCTCGCCACCAGTTTCGTGCAAAGCCAATCGGCAGTTTCCTGACTATCGTCAGTTCCCTGCAGAAATATAGTCAATATAAACCAACTGGTAGCGATGGCGCGACCCTACGCCGTGTTTGGTCAGGTCATTACATCTCTGTTCAAAGTTTTCTTTGCAGATTCGGGGAGATTTTGGCGAGCGCAGTCCAACCATGTTTTCAAAAATAAAAATAAAAAAAATTGACCCACTTTTGGGCCCAACCGGAATTCCGGTTGGACCACCGGGGGTCCAACCGGCTGGTTGCCGGCACAGCACATCTCTGTTCAAAGTTTTCTTTGTGGATTTGGGGAGATTTTGGCGAGCGCAGTCCAACCATGTTTTCAAAAAAAAAAAAAAAAAAAAATTGACCCACTTTTAGGCCCAACCGGAATTCCGGTTGGACCACCGGGGGTCCAACCGGCCGGTTGCCGGCACAGCCATGCTTTTCACCACTTACATGCAAAAGCCGCTGAGCTATGTGTAAAATCCATTGAATAGAGCCTACCGTTCACATGCGTCTCCTATAATTTTGCCTGCGATACTCACGACTGCAATCAGACTCGTTCTCAAACACACTTTTCATACATGTAAACAGCAACGCAGCATACTGGCGACATGCGCCCACTCAAAACTCAGAGATATGGCTTTCAGATACGAGTTCACTCTCAAGTGGCTATGGTGACTTCAGCGCCCAAACATCTCACTGTTCACATTCACTGGATCACCCTGGATATCCCACACGCATCACTCTAACACTCGAACACACACACACACTAACTACTAACTACAGCTATGGCAGCTATCGCTGCATCTAACCTATCGCTATGCTGACTCCCTCTCTCTTGCCCACTGCGTCCTCCGGGCTCATCTGCAGACCTCCTTGCACAAGTCGCTGTGGCAGCGCTACCGCATGGCTCACGCAGGAATGAAATGAATGGCYGGGCGCTGCCTCTTGATTTATACTTCAGAAACTCGTTGGTCTGCCCTTTGCCATCGGCCCTTGGTGCTCACAGTCCCCCTGTGGTACTTGCTGGACCGGACTGGGACTGACTGGACCTTCCGCTGACTGACTGTGGACTTACCGCTATCCTACCGACGTTGTACTGCTGTTGCACTGTGGTTTAGTCCACCACTTGCCTCTCCACTTGACCACTTGCCCACTTGCCTACCTTCTAGAAGGTCTACAGCTAAGCT